AATTTTGGCATCAATTTAGTTACTGGAGTAGGTGTAAAAATATTGAAGAAAATGAAAATATGTGGAATGCAAAGGATTTGGAGTGTGCATAGTGTTGTATTTTGAGCAATATTTATCTTGAAGATTTCATTTTCAATTGCTCTTCTGTATATAAAATTATTTTAAAATGCTCTAAGATAACATTATTAAAAAGAATCTGTCATTGGAAAGCAATAAATTTCTCATTAATTTGTATGTTTTGAAAGTTTGTATTTGACAATACTCTCTAAGCAAAGCCCTATAAAATACTTTAAATATTTATTTACCAGACATTTTTTTTTTTTTAATCCATAGGAAGAATACACATAGTAGAGTTAAAAAAATTCTAAACATAAGACCTAGGTATCGTCTGACCATGAATACAGTGTGTTACCTTCACATAATTACAATACTTTCCTGGGCCTCATTTCTTTATTTGATTAAACTGATTTATCTTCCCTCTGGTGAGGTTGAAGCTCCACTTTTGTGATCACTCATCATCCATTTCCAAATATACAAACATTTTATGAACAAAACTTAGAGTACTAAGTGGCTTAGAGAAGGAAAATACAAAACTCTGCTTGCAGTTACTCCTATTAAAGGCATTTTTCAAAGCTCATTTGGGAAGGAGATTAGATTAAAATATAACTATAGATAAAAGTTAAAGTTAATAGTGATAATTCAAAAACTGAGATGACTTTTAGAGTTTTAAATTATGCCCATATGCAAATCTGACAACCTATATTTTTAGTACATTATTAAAATCTAGAGATGTACTTTTTCATTTATTCCTATGTTTTTATCTTTCTTCAGCAAATTTTAAAATTTACTCATTGCAAAAACATTTACCTAAATTTCTCTAGATGGTTCAATATATTTTTTAAATGTTCTCTTTGGCATAGATCAACATAGAACTATTTTTCTCTCATTTGTAAACTCATAAATAAGAAGAAATTTCCTTTGTATTAAGAAACTATGTTAATATATTTATGATAGTCATTAAGTTAACAAACACATTTAAATTTTTGCCAAGTAGTAACTTAACTGATAAAATACAGTTTAGTAAACAGTAGCCTTCCATGACTTGATATCCTCAGTTATTTGGATCAAATTTTCATTATTCTCAATGTTAGAAAATGCATCTGCAAACACAATTAGCTATACAGTAGGTGAATAATCAGTCTCCAGTCATTATGAATAAGACCCCTGTTTATTTGTAGCATATTTCTACAATTAAAATCATGAAATATAAATCTGCAGCAATTGATGTAGTAACTGAAATATGATCCTTAAGTTTGCTCTCCTGTGTCAGCCTGTAAGAGTGTTCTGCAGAATGCTAGTATTCCTATAGATGCTTCTTGGAAAATAAGGTTCTATAAACAAATGTTTGGGAATTTTGGATTCGACAAAGAGAAGCAAATTGTGTTACATTTGTTCCAGTGTCAGTCATTCAGAGGAGTCTTAATTGGAGTACTAAGCTCATTTTTTGTATGATAGCTCATGGGACTAGAGATACGGCACAGGATATATTTTGGGAAATGCAGTTTGTTTAAAAACACTTTACATAAAATGAAATAACACAAAATAAAAATCATAGCCCACCTGGCCTCTGCTACTCAGAGGAAGATGGGGGCTGTTGGCTCAGATGCTTTTCTGAAAAGAAAAGACAGCACTGTCCCCAGCTTCTAATAAGTTTGCTATTGCAGCACTATTCCTTTATTCTTTAAAAGTGTAAAGGGGGAATCCAAATTGAAGCAAAAAATTAAAAGAAGAAGATTAAAGATTTATTTTCTAGATACACTAGTAGAAATAAAATTGTAGTTTTAATGTAAGATTTATTATATGATGGACTTGAAAAACATCTAGTTGCAAATCAGAATAATTGCCCTTCTCTTATGAAGTCAATCTGGAGGGTGAAGTGTGGAGATTGTTTTTCTTCTATGTGAATTACTTGTTTCCTTTAAAGAAAAAAAAAAAATCAACGTAAGGAAATCCCTAAAAGTTTCAATACAGATTTCTCCAAAAGGGTTATTGCTGTCAAGTTTTTTTTTCCCCAATGTTGCATAATCTTTGTATAATTTATAAATGATAACAAAGCAATCAGGCCACATTCATAAAAACCCAGTGACACATAATTTAGTTGAATCTGAGGATTAGAATTAATTGTTTCTCTTTGTTCCAAGTTCTAAATCTTAGTAAATGATTCACTGCATGTCATTACAGCTTAATATTTGCATGAAATCACAGTTTAGCTGGCATAATTTAACAGCAATTAAAAAGCTATTTAATCGTCATGCAAATTGGTGTGAGGGCCCTTGAGTAAGAAGGGTGTCTGCCTTTTTTTTTTTTTTAAGTATCTCCAGGCGGACAGTTATATATTTGCAGACACCCATAACATAATTGATAACATTCTTCCTATTCATGAAAATATAAGTGAATAATAATTCATGTTTTCCTTTATAAATAAAAGAGCAACAATATGAATATGTCATTCTGTAGGAAGACCTTATTATGATAATGATAATGTATATCTTTATCTCCCATGCATAAGTCTAGGTTGGAGGTAAAAAGCTACACATGTCCCTGTGCTCTAATTTATAATGCTTTCCATCTTTTCCTTTCTGAAGAAAGACGCTTCTGTAACTCTCTGAAACATGAAATGGCATAAAACAAAGTATGCAGAAACCTGTTAGAAAAGCTAACCATCCCATTTCTAGGTCAGGCTTTAGGTAATATACATACAGATGACTGAGGCCCCTACCCATCAGTTTGCTGTTATCAGGACCCAGCAAAAAGAAAAAGGAAAATATAAAATAACAATTCTTAATATCTCAAACCCAATACATAGTTACGTAAATTTATGAGTAATTTATGCTACTCTAACACTGTATAACAGATCTCACTAATGAGTCCCATGTACTTATATCCCTGTACTATTCCCTAAAGCCAGAATGTTCTTTTTAAAACACATTACCTCCATATATAAAATCTCTAAGCCTATTCCTGTTGTACATAGAAAAATATCCAGACTCATTACAATGAGCCTAGGAGTCTTGCACTTTCCCACCCCTTCCTCTTCCTTAAAACTCACTTCTTACTTTTTCCTTTTGCATTCTAGCCACAGTGATTATCTGCCAGTTCCTTGACTATTTTAAGATTTTTCTTGACTAAAGAACCTTCTACCCTTAATACTCTTCTCACTCCTCTGACATCCTCTTCTCACCACCTCCATGAGGCTTTCTCCAAATGTTTCTCAGATTGGTCCTCCTGATAGTTTTTTTTTAAATATTTATTTATTTATTTATTTATTTATTTATTTATTTTGAGAGAGAGAGAGAGAAAGAGCATGTGAGTGGGGGGAGGAGCAGGAGGGAGAGGAACAAGCAGACTCCACACTGAAAGTGGAGCCCGATGTGGGGCTCGATCCCATGACCCTGAGATTATAACCTGAGCCGAAACCGAGTCAGACACTCAACTGACTGAGCCACCCAGGCACCCCTGGTCCTCCTGTTAATGTTTATTTCATCTCCTTTCCTTTTGATTTTTGCACTACTACTTATTATAATTTGAATTTTATTCTTCTATTTAATGTGTTTATTTGCCTGCCATTCAACTTAAATGTATATAACAAAGTAAGAATTTGTCTGTTACATTCACACTGTAAGTCCAAGATCTAGCAGGTTATCTGGCACACATAGTAGTCACTTAAAAAAAATATTTATTTCATGAGTGAATGACTATATCTTGAGATCTATAAAGACCCTATACCAAAACTTGAATTTCTCTCTATAGAAAGAATATTGAAGATAATTCTATCCCACCTTCTAAGCAAATTTTCTTTTTTTTTTTTTTTTTTTAAAGATTTTATTTATTTATTTGAGAGAG